CAGTTACTTTATCGATAAAGACACCAAATGTATCGATGGAAAAAAATGATAATAGTGAAACAATTCAAAACTAAAGGAACCTATCATTGCTTCTCATCTGTCCATTTGAAGGTCTATCAAATGAAAGGTATAAGCGAGACAGTTAAAGTCTAAAGAAGTCAACCAAGAGACATAATTAAAGAAAGAATTCACATAATTTTTCAGGAAAGTGCTTTCGCGCAAGATCAATTGAACTGAAAAACGGTCACACGTAAATTATTACGCAAATTATTTTTATTTATTAGATGAATTACACTGATGTAATAGAGACAATTCAAATCCAAAGAATTCAAGAATTCAACTAATCGTAGTTTTAGGAAAATAACAACAACACTCCCAGAGGGCTTTTTTCTTAAACAAGAATATTATTCTGGTCGATTCGTATCACGTTTGGAAACAAGGTTAGAATCATAGCCAATCAATGGTTCAGTTATTTTGGCAGATGTTGTGAAAGAGGTTTGCAAACATTTCATAAAGAAGTTAATATGTCAAACTACTATGACCATTTATAAGAAATTATGACATCAAAACAATTTTATCAAATAAACTGAAAGTTGTGACGCGTAAGCTCAATRCTAATTCACTGAATCTAAACGAAGCCAATGATTGTTTGAGTACGATTTCAGAGAAGCTCGATAATTCAACTCTTTTCAAAAGACGTTTGAATAGACTATCAAGCTGAATAAATGTCCAAAATGTACTTAAGAGAGAATGATAGCCGAGAGAAGCTCTTCTGTGCAATTCTTCGGTTTCAAGTTACGTCACAGCGGCCATCTTGGAGAAGCTTCAACAAAGGATTTCTCATTAGTATCTCTTGTTCATTCCTCCAACATGGYCGCAAGTCTTTTATCTTTTGAATCTCATGGGAATGSGTGAAAACAATAAATAGAAAATGAATTAGTAGGATAAAACCCATGWTTTTTCAATTCAATTCAACAAATACATCTGCTTCAAATTGTGATTCAAAATTCAGTCAGACTGAAATTCAGTGAACTGATAGAATCTCAAATTTCTTGAATTCAGTGAAGGTTTCTTCTACTAAAAATCCACATMCTGTAATATTAAGCACATCACCAAATTCGYAAAATTAAAATTAAAAAAAKATGGTGCACGTGTATCTACATAAAGCATTTCAAATAAAAGAATTTAGTCAATAGTCTATGRACAAAAATCTTTGTCATTAATAAGGTTTAAGTTATATCAGKCCAGTAATCACGATTAGCAGCCATTTATCGACTCGTAGATATAGCTATCACCGAACTGTGAATTAYTAARATATTAAAAACTATTGATAATTTAAAAACACTGTCTATTAGTAATTGTTTGACAAWSTGATTYATATTACTCTGCCACCATACTAGACGATGGAAATTATTMACATACTGGTACTGCAGAACTAAAAAAYAATACTTTGAATGATTTCTGAATCGGTCTTAAATTCMTGATTAAATTTGTGTYTAYGTTRTATTGCATACGAATTTGGACTTGCGAAGTTAKCTCAAGACAAYGAGGCAAAAAAATGATTACCTAATGTGTTAAAATTAGCTATAAAATGGTAGAAGATTCACTATACACTTATAGAACCAAGCTAAAATCACCTGCCTTGATCTCAATTATAATTTTAATTTTCTTCAAGGTTGATTTTAGAGAAAATATTTTACACATCCAAGTATAGATTAAAGTCAAGYTCAATCCAACAGTTTTATGCATTAACATTCAGTAGAAATGTAAACAAAAAGAAAAAAAAGCTAGGGTAATTGTAATTAATATTTTTTTAATCGACAACAGAAAACTATCAAATGGATAGAATAAGCACCATACTGTTTTACAATTATTTGAATAATTTTGAAATGCCAACAATGTAGCTATTGGTTTTTAGATAAAAAAAAATAAACGTAGCAAACTTGGTTTTTGAAACATTACTTACTTAAACGAGTTTTTATAATAAAATCGTCCAAATCAAGAAAAAATCACTGTTTTGTTTCGGTGAAAAAAATGAGCCAACATCGGCCTTGATATGAAAAGGTCTGAAAACACATGTATCGCTGACCAATAGAATTTAACAACCCACATCTAATACATTGTTAAGTTTCACCGAACAGGGAGTTCCCAAATTGAAAAGATATGGATGACAGCAAGGAGTCAAAAAAGGCTTTAATAAATATCATATCATTCACTGATACAATTAGACTCGCGTCAAATGTTTTGTTCAGTTTTRCCGAAGAAGGAGTTACCATAGGTTATGGATATGTCACCATATATATCACTTACTAATAAAATTATACTCAAATCACCTCCATTGCTGATTTACATGAGGAAGGAGGTACAAAAAGCTATGGCCATGTCGACTCATAATCGTTCTCTTCCAACACAGCCAACTTCTACTGTCAYAATGAACGACAGTTATACAGGTGAGGTAGCTGGAACAACGGCGATAGTTCTCAACGTATTTTTCGCCTTCATTGGGACGTTTGGAAACGTTTTGATAATCTTTGCCGTTTTGAAAACACCCCAGCTTCGTCAAAGGCCATCTTACCATCTTCTCTTGAGTTTGGCTGTAGCAGATTTAGTGGTGACCATGGTTGCACAACCACTTTTTGCTACTAATGTTTTTCTGAAGACCATTGCAAAGCGATGCTGCTATGGAGTCGATATGGGATATGTTGTGACAGTRGCTCTATCTGGAGGAAGCTCTATGAGTCATTTGGCGGCCATCAGCATCGACAGAGCATTAGCAACGACAAAACCCCACAAGCATCCCCGCATCATGAAGCGATGGTCCAAAGTGATGTTGTCTCTATGTTGGGGAACAGCTTCAATTGCGATCATCAGTGGATATTTCAATGTACAAAACACTAATCCAGGGAAAACCGCCACTCTGATTTTTGCCATTTTTGATGTTTCTCTAATTTGTGTGAATTTTCTCTTCATGATTGGATCATACGCGATTGTTCTCTACAGAATCAAATATCCAAAGTACCAACCGGCCATCGGACCAACAACTCTAACGGCACGTGACAGAGCCATAGAGAAAAGAGTTTCTGGAACRATCGCTATTGTGAYTTTTCTTTTCGCCGCTTGCTGGTTCCCTGTTGCTGGATACCGATTATCRCAGACTGATACTTCGGCAGGCTGCTCGCTTGATCCAACGCTGTTGTGGATTCGTACAATTTACTTGACAAACTCGTCTATGAACTTCATTGTTTACAGTTTGAGAATCCGTCACTTTCGCGCAGCTTACTCAAGAATCATCACTAGAATGTTTCAGCCATGTAGGAAGATTACCGAGCGCCAAAATGTACATGCAGCACCTAATGCTAATGTGCCTTTTCCTTTATCACTAAGCACACCAAATGCATCTATTGAAATAATTGACGCGAGTGAAATAACACAAATCTAAGACAGACGTCGAGTGAAAATAGAAACGGAGAATTGAATGTCGCTCTCTGACGATAGCAGCTGTCATGACGCTTCCTGATTCCCTAGTGCTTGGCACAGCTTCCAACATTCTGAAAAACATTTTCCTGTTCATTTCAAAGTTTATCAAATGCAAGGCGAAGGCAGAGCAATCCAAATCTAAAGGAGCCCACCAAGAGATATCATCGAGAGAATGATTTCAGATTAACTTGAATATTGATCCATTCTTAAGAAAGGCGATCTGGC